AAGAACCGAACACAGAGGTGAATGGAGACAGATTATACTGCATTGAAACGGCAGACGTTGAAGGAACTATTGGAAGCCAGGGGTAAGATAGCCAGCAATAAGTCAAAAGCTGTGCTTATTGCCGAACTGATGGAGGGAGACAGAGCTCACAGCGCTACACCCCCACCAGACATGGAAGAGACCCCATTCCAGAAAGAGATGAGAACCAGACTGGAATTCCTACCCCAGCCAGTACCGCTGGAAATGCTGACGATACTGATGGCAGATGTGCAGGAGTATGTGATGGCACACAGACCGCAGGATTCACCCACCAGAGCAGAATCTACTGCTGCTTCAGTCACCAGCCAGGTAAAGCCAAAGATACCGCATCATGCTTTTAAAATGTTTTGAGAAGACAAAGATGAGATTGATGGGTATCTACAGGATTTTGAGAGACTATGTGACCTGCATGATCTGGAGCAGGCAGTGTGGGTACCTTTACTGGCAGGCAAATAATCAGGTTGGGCAGCAGAAGCATATCGGGCCGTGCCCAGAGAGGACAGCAAAAATTATGCCAGGGTAAAACAAGCCATATTGGAGAGATATGCCATTACCCCAGAAGCATACTGGCGCAAGTTTCGAGGGCTGTGCAAACCGGATAAAGACTCCCACACAGAGTGGGCACACAAGATGGATCAGGCATCCCAGGGGTGGATACAGGCTAGCCAAGCTACCACCATGGAGGAGTTACGTCAACTGCTATTGCTGGAGCAATTTTACAATGGTCTGACACCAGAGGCATAAGAATGGGTGAGAGACAGAAAACCCCTCACCCTAACAGAAGCGGCACGACTGGCAGATCAACACTATGACGCCAGGAGACACTATGGCAACCTCAATCGAGGGTATCCTTGACCTTCGACACAACCTCCTACAGCTACCACTACCGCACCCACAACAACCCCATTCTGGCAAGCAACTGGGGGGCAAACTCCACTGTCTCGATACAATGGCCGATTCAGTGCCATACCTGCAAGCAATGGGGCCACATGGCGAGAGAATGTATGGAGCATGGAGCCAAGTATGACCGAACCCAGCACCACGAGCAGCCGCGCACCACTCCCAAGCAGAGCCAGCACCCCAGGAGCTACTGTTTAATCACACAGAAGAGCCCCTGGGAATACTGCATGAAGTGATGTCTGTGCAAGCCACAGACAATAGGCACCCTCATCCCCAGATGGTAACCTTGGAGGGGAAGGAAGTCCATGGGCTCCGAGATTCGGGGGCCACTCTGACTCTAGCAGCACCTCATTTGGTTCCAGGCTCAGCGCACACAGGCGGATCCGTGGCAGTCCGAGTAGCAGGGGGAGCGATTACCAACCGCAAAAGTACACTTGAATTGGGGTGTGGGGGAAGGGATGGTGGAGGTGGGCCTGATGCAAAAACTGCCAGCAGATGTCGTATTGGGAAACGACCTGGGCAGAATGACTTCCGCTTTTGTACCTCAAGTCCCACTCCAAGAGGCGCACCCGGTAACCACAAGGCAACAGGCTCGCACCATGGCTTCATCCACACACTCTGAGGCTCAGTTAAGAGACAATGTAACCCCTATGACTTGTGTTCCCTGGGATACCCCGACTGAATTTGGGGTAGAGGTTAAGGTAGACCCTACGTTGAAAGTGTATAGAGATAGGGTGAACTCGGATCAGGCAGGGTTAGAGGGGGAGCGGTATGCTTGGGAAAAGGGGTTATTGCACCGTATTGCTGAAAGGGTAGTGAGGGGATCTGTAAATGTTACTACTAGACAGATGGTAGTACCCCAGAAATATCGACAGGAACTCCTTCGGATCGCTCATGACATTCCGTTGTCTGGGCATCTGGGTATGACCCGAACTAGATACCGACTGACCCATGCATTCTTCTGGCCAGGTATATCTAAAGATGTGAGGCAATACTGCCAGACGTGCGACATCTGTCTGAGAGTAGGCAAAAGGGGTGACCAACACAAGGCCAAATTATGCCCACTACCCATCATAGAAGAGCCGTTTAGTAGGGTGGCCGTAGACATAGTAGGACCCTTACCCAAACCCAGTCCCTCCGGCAAGAAGTACATCTTGACCGTGGTGGATTACGCCACCAGGTACTCCGAGGCAGTAGCTCTCTCTAATATCCACGCAGAGACGGTGGCCAAAGCCTTAATGAAAGTCTTCTCCCGGGTGGGGTTCCCCCAGGAGATAATCTCCGATAGGGGTACGCAATTCACAACCGAAGTAACCCACCAACTCTGGAAAATATGTGGCATTAAGCCTATTGTGAATTCGGCGTACCACCAGGGCCGGACTGGGGATACGAAGCAGCCCTGGAAAAAAATCTATGCCAGCCCCATAAGTCATTGTGCTATGTAGGGTGTTATATATTAAAGGACCACTATAGTGCCCTGAGGGTGCCCCCACCCTCAGGGTCCCCCTCCCGCCCGGCTCTGGAAGGGTGAAAGGGGTAAAAACTTACCTTTTTCCAGTGCTGGGCAGGGAGCTTTCCTCCTTCTCTCCTCCTCCGTTCCTCCTCCTGGGTTGAATGCGCACGCGCGGCAAGAGCTGCGTGCGCATTCAGCCGGTCACATAGGAAAGCATTTACAGTGCTTTCCTATGGACGCTGGCGTGCTCTCACTGTGAAAATCACAGTGAGAAGCACGCAAGCGCCTCTAGCGGCTGTCAATGAGACAGCCACTAGAGGATTAGGGGGAAGGCTTAACCCATTCATAAACATAGCAGTTTCTCTGAAACTGCTATGTTTATGAAAAAATGGGTTAACCCTAGCTAGACCAGGCACCCAGACCACTTCATTAAGCTGAAGTGGTCTGGGTGCCTAGAGTGGTCCTTTAATGTATATATATATATATATATATATATATATATATTATTGATACATTTCTTCTTCTAATTCAAAATATTAGTCCTTTCAGGGTAATTAAATTATACAGTAAAGCATACTCACACACAGACACAGACAATCTTACTGATGCACACAAATAGGCTCATTGACAGACAATCTCAATGACACACACAGACAAGGTTACTGGCAGACACACAAATTTAGTACAGACAAACTCTGATACACACACAAGTTTACTACAGACAAGCTCACTGTCACACACACACGCTCACTACAGACAAGCTCACTGATGCGCACACACTCTCCCTACAGACAAGCCCATTGACACACACATGCTCCCTACAGAAGAGCTTACTAACACAGATTCACTACAGACAAGCTCACTGACACACCCATGCTCACTACAGACAAGCTCACTGACACACACGCTCACTACAGACAAGCTCACTGACACATATGGTCACTACAGACAAGCTCACTGACACACACGCTCACTACAGACAAGCTCACTGATGCGCACACACTCTCCCTACAGACAAGCCCATTGACACACACATGCTCCCTACAGAAGAGCTCACTAACACAGATTCACTACAGACAAGCTCACTGACACACCCATGCTCACTACAGACAAGCTCACTGACACATATGGTCACTACAGACAAGCTCACTGACACACACGCTCACTACAGACAAGCTCACTGACACATATGGTCACTACAGACAAGTTCACTGACACATATGGTCACTACAGACAAGCTTACTGACACACACGCTCACTACAGACAAGTTCACTGACACACACGCTCACTACAGACAAGCCCACGATCACACCCATGCTCCTTACAGACAAGAGCTCACTAACACACACACATATGATCCCTACAGACAAGCTCACTGACACACATACAAACTCACTCACTAGCAGGCACACACACAAACTCACTAGCAGGCACACACACACACAGAGGCTCCCTCACTAGCAGGTGCGCACACACACACAGAGGCAAACAGTCACTGACACTGAGGCAAACATCCACACATACAGACAGGCAGACAGCCACACACACACAGGCAGACAGTCACACACACACACACACAGCCACACACACAGGCAGACACTTACACACACACAGTCACACACACAGACAGTCACACACACAGTCACACACAGACAGTAACATACACAGGCAGACAGACACACACACAGAGGCAGTTACACACAAAGGCAGTCACACGCACAGTCACACGCACACACAGACAGTCACACACAAACACACACTAACAGTCACACACTCACAGACAGTCACAGTCACACACAAACACACACACACAGACAGTCACACACACACAGGCAGTCACAGTCACACACACACAGTCTCACACACACACAGTCACACACACACAGACAGTCACAGTCACACACACACACACACACACAGATAGTCACACACACAGACAGTCACACACACACAGTCACACACTCACAGATAGTCACAGTCACACACACACAGTCACACACTCACACACTCACAGACAGTCACACACTCACAGTCACACACTCACACAGACACACTGACCTCCTCCTTACCTCCTGCTTGGAGTTCCTGGAGGCTTGTTGTTGGGGAAGCAGGGACTCCTTCCTGCTTCCCATGCTGCAATTAGCCGGGCCCCGCCGCACAGTAAGCTCCGCCTCCGCCGCACGCTAAGCCCCGCCTCCGCCGCACAGTAAGCTCCGCCCCCGCCGCAAATTTTTTTTTTTTTTTTTTTTTAAATGATCCCGGGCGGCCATGTGTGAGCTGTGCCGGCCGCCTGGCTCCCCCTGCTCCCATGGGGCTCTGTGCGGCCGCACAGCTCACACACGGCCGCCGGGATCACAGGAGCTGTCAGACCGGCCCCAGGTGCCGCGGCCCACCGGGAAATTTCCCGGTATCCCGGTGGGCCAGTCCGGCCCTGCGTACCACCCTCAGTCTAATGGGTTATGTGAAAGGTTCAATGGAACTTTAAAGCAGATGCTCCGTACATTTGGAGAGGCCCATAAGGACTGGGAGCGATTTTTACCCCATCTGCTGTTCGCCTACCGAGAGGTTCCCCACGAGTCCACCGGGTTTTCCCCCTTTGAATTACTGTTTGGGAGAAGGGTGAGAGGACCCCTAGATTTAATTAGAGAGCATTGGGAAGGGGAAAGCAGTGCAGATGGGATACCCATTGTACCATATGTGCTGGAGTTCAGGGACCGCCTGGAGGCACTAACCCAGACCGTATGGGTAAACCTCCAAGCGGCTCAACAACGGCAGTGCCGATGGTATGATAGGGGAGCCAGGGACCGCAGCTTTCAAGTGGGACAGAAAGTTTTGATTTTAAAACCTGTACGCAATGGCAAGCTGCAGGCTGTCTGGCAAGGCCCATACCAGGTGGTGGAACAGAGATGTGACACCACCTATGTAACTGGCCCCTGCTCAGGGGTAGGGAAGAGACGCATGCTCCACGTGAATATGCTCAAACCCTACCATGAGAGGATAGAGGACGTAGCAACTATATGCGCATCAGCCTTTGAGGATCAGGAGAATCTTCCGCTACCTGATTTATTGAGCGAGAAGATCAGGCAGAGAACTCCACTGGGGTTCAGCTGGGGGAGCGGCTAAGTCCTCAGGAGCGTGCCCAGGTACAGGAGTTAATTGCGGCTAAGGGAGCCACTTTCTCCAATTTACCAGGGTACATCCCGCTAGCCACTCACCGGGTAGAGACCCCAGGACAGCTACCAATGCGGCAGACCCCATATCGTATCCCTGAAGCAGTCAGGGAACATATGCGGAAGGAAATTGAGGAGATGTTGCAGCTAGGGGGTATTGAACATTCCGATAGCCCCTGGGCATCGCTGGTAGTGCTAGTACCCAAGAAGGATGGCACAGCACGGTTCTGTGTTGACTACCGGAGGCTAAATGACAATACAGTGTCTGATACCTACCCGATGCCCGGATAGACGAGCTGCTAGATAAGATGGCACGAGGCCAGTACCTCACTATGATAGACTTATGCAAAGGATACTGGCAGATTCCTTTAGCCGAGGATGCCATCCCCAAGTCGGCGTTCGTCACCCCGTTTGGCCTGTACCAGTTTCGAGTCATGCCATTCGGGATGAAAAACACTCTGGCTACCTTTCAGAGGATGGTAGATCAGCTACTGGATGGGTTCCAGGAGTATGCATGTGCATACCTGGACGATATCACCAAATATAGCCAGACGTGGTCAGACCACCTGCGACATATTGGAGCTGTCATTGACCGTATTGGAGAGGCAGGGTTGACGCTAAAACCCAGCAAGTGTCATATAGGGATGGCAGAGGTACAGTACCTTGGGCACCGAGTAGGGAGTGGGCAGCAAAAACCGGAAGCAGCCAAAATAGAGGCTGTAGCTAAGTGGCCTACCCCCCGGACAAAAACCCAAGTGTTAGTCTTCCTGGGTACCGCAGGATACTACCGGAAGTTCGTACTCAATTACAGTGCCCTGGCCAAACCCCTGACTGACTTGACCTGCAAAAATCTTCCCCGACAAGTCATCTGGGCCCCAGAATGTGATCAGGCATTTCAACAACTCAAGACTGCTTTAACCAATGCACCTGTACTTGCTGCTCCTGATCCAACTAAACGATTTCTTGTCCACACAGACGCTTCAATGTTTGGATTGGGAGCAGTGCTGAGCCAAGTTGGAGCAGATGGCGGAGAACATCCCGTAGCTTACTTAAGCAGAAAATTATTACCAAGTGAAGTAAGCTACGCCGCCATTGAGAAAGAATGCCTGGCCGTGGTGTGGGCCCTCAAAAAGCTACAGCCTTATTTATATGGACAACCTTTCTCCTTACTCACAGATCACAACCCGTTGGTGTGGCTGAACCGTGTGGCTGGGGACAATGCCAGGCTGCTGGAGTTTGGCACTGCAGCCTTTTGACTTTACCATTCATTACCGCCCAGGGAAGCAAAATGGTAACGCCGACAGGTTATCGAGACAAACTGAACTTGAAAAGTGATCTGTGAGTACTCCTCCGGACATCCCCAAGCCGATCCGTTGGGTTCAGACTGTGTATGCCGGCTTGGTTCTGGGGGAGCATTGTGGCAAACCTAGCCACTTTAGATTGTGCAGTTTTATGTCTAAAGGTTGTCCTAGAAAGCTGGTCCAATTCTATTAGTTTCTGTATGTACTTGTAACTGTAATAGAGAGCATTCGCACGCTAGCAGCAGAAAGCCGCTAGCATTCATATGGTAGTTTCACGAACAGTGACTTTCCACACTGTCCGTGAAACGAATAAAGTACCGAATGGGAGCCCACACACAGGGGGTCGTGTGGCTCCCATTAACCGATTGCAACATTGTAGCAATCGGCTGCTATTTGATTTCCCGTGTGGCCGTCGTTCGGCTACCGTCCACAAGGCAGCGGCCATCTTGGATTTTCCATTTGCCCAGCCATGTTTGGTCGTCGAGTGCCTGGAACTAAAATCGGCTGATCGACGGCGCGAACACCGCTGGACTTCCAGGCCGTTCGGGAGCGCCGGTCTTTCGGTATTTTTTCCTCAATTATGTATTCGGGACTTTTATGATGAATGTATATTAAAGTGTGTTTCGTGCAGCGTTCGGTTATTTATGCTGGGATCTGAGCGGTACTTTCACAAAGTGTGCGCTCAGACCCCGGCTATCTGCCGAAGGTCATTGGTTACAATAGTACGAATAAAATATAAGTTACTGATTTTTGTGTGAAAAGCCGGTTCTGCTGTACGGAGGGATAATCCACTTAACAGGATATCCTTGTGGGAGTATCCCTCTCGTACAGCAGTGCATAGTGGGAGAAATGTCCTGCATGTTCAGTTCTCCATGTAGTCCTCTACTGTATAACCCCTGCAAAGTGATTAAGGAAACCCCTTGCATGGGGAACCACATAAATACTTGAGCTGTGAATAAAATCGTCAGTTGACTTCCAGAACTGTGTTTCGTCCGGTTAGTGGGGGATTTGGGATATTGCCTTAATTTTCAGCGCTTTCCTTGTATTACTTTCTGTACCAGCGGAGATATTGGGATTTAATATTGCAGCTCCACTACAATAGTGTTACGAACAATCTCTGCACATCACCTGTGACTTATTCTCCCTGTATATTGTAAAATCAGAGACAGGGGGGATTAAGAGGGTAAACTTAAAGGACCACTCTAGGCACCCAGACCACTTCAGCTTAATGAAGTGGTCTGGGTTCCAGGTCCAGCTAGGTTTAAGCCTGCCTGCTGTAAACATAGCAGTTTCAGAGAAACTGCTATGTTTACAAATGGGTTAATCCAGCCTCTAGTGGCTGTCTCATTGACAGCCGCTAGAGGTGCTTCCGCACTTCTCACTGTGATTTTCACAGTGAGAAGCAGGGCCGGACTGGGGATACAAAGCAGCCCTGGAAAAAAAATTTGTGCCAGCCCCATAAGTCACTGCGCCATATATTGTCGCGTGTAATATGTAAGGCTATGTCTTGCCAGGACAGATGATTGAGTAATATATATATATATATATTGCTTTTTCTAATATAAAATATTGGTCCTTTCAGGGTAAAACGTTTAATTATACAGTAAGCATACGCACATGCAGACACAGGCAATTTCAGTGACACACACAAGCTCATTGATACACAGCCTCATAGACAAACAATCTTACTGATATACATCAGCTCATTGACATAAAAACACAAGTTCACTCA